TAAAAATTAAATACAATTTTTTATAGTTAGATTGTAGATATTAGATAGTATATTAAACAAACATACAATCATTATTATTCAATTCTAACTTTTAAGAATTGATTATTCAATAAAATAATATGATACTCTAATTCTACTTTTGAATAATGTAAACTAAATAAAAATTACAACATTTTTAAATATTATATTATATATTGTATTTATTTGACAACTGAAGAGATTGTTGATTATTCCCATGAAATTATTTCGTTCATAAGTTAGAAAAAAACAATACTTATGAATTAAATAAATCATTCTAGTTAAAAAATAAAAACATTGGAAAATATTAATGTAAGTAAAGTATAATTTGTGAGATAAAAGATTATATTTTATAGTAAAAATTGTTTATAGAATAATTTATTGTACAATAATATATTTTATCACAATATTTCAATGTCTAACATGTATAACAATTGACTAAAAAGATATAACAAAAAAWTTTTTATATATTTTACAATAATAAAGTAAAAATACGTTTTAAGCATAGGTATTGGAATTTTTCTTGTAAATATAAAATTTGAGACGTTTTATTGGCATAATTATACATAAAACAAATATTATAATTTCATGAAAATTAACTACAATTGAGAGCAAGTGATCCACAAAAGAAAGCAGTCATGAAATAAATAACAGCCTGAAAAAAATATCATATTAGTCAATTTTAAAATTTCTAGTTGAAAATTAAATAGGTTTTACTATTTTTTTTTATGAATATTCTTAATTGACATTTTAAATTATTTCTATTTAGGTTTTGAAATAATTTTAATTAAAAACAAAAATTTATTAAAGCAATTTCAAAAATAASGGGAAAATGTGATAATTGTATTTTGGAATATTATGAATTTACTATAAATACTATTTTTCAAGTGGTTTACATTTTTAAACTTCAGATTCTTTAAAACTCCATAAAAAAAATTAATTTTATAGATCTGGAATACAATACACAAAAAAAAAAAATTGATTAACATTTTAATATTGGTAAAAATATAATAAGGAAAAAACTCAAGTTGATAGAAAATATAGCAGATTTAAATGATTGTTTTTCAACAATATTTGGAATTAAAATTATTTTATTAAGGAAACAGGATATTGACAAGAACATATCTAAAAACACAAAACATCAGGTTTTTTACCAATTCTAAAATGTTGTATATATAATTTCAATATCATATAAAAAAGTATTAACTATTTTTTTTAAAACGCATTATTGTTAAGTTGTTGAATGTAACCACATAATATAAATATTTTACTTACAAGTCCTATAGCTATAAATAAAACATATATTTTGACATTTTTCCAGAATAATGAACGACGTAGWGTACGACTTTGAACTCTGAAATTCATGGATTGTGAACACAAGTTTTCAGTTTTATTAACCAATAATTCAAGTTTTTCACCGCGAAGAGCTACACTGTCTGAAAATAGGATTATTAAATAGTAATAAAATGATAGCTTATAATAATTATATATTTACCAATATTTCGAACCATTATGTCTTTTAATTCATCTAGTTCTCCATGTACTTTTGATAATGTATCAAATTCATTAGGACTAGAAAATCGTTTCTATGAAAAAAAATTATCGTTACTATCTTTGAAATAAATATTTTATATAGATGAATGCTTGAAGTGGTTTACCATTTCAGAAGCAAGTATTGGAGCAAACTCAGAATTCATGGAATATGCAATAGCATTGGATGCTCGTTGACCATATGTAGCTTGAAATCTTCGTTTTATTTCATTTAAGAAAAAAAATGCTTTAGATCTTTGGAATTCCTATAAAYACATAAGAATTATAAAATATTAGTTAGGTTGATCATAAARCATTATATAATTCATAAATTCACTTACATCATCTGTGATACACATATAAACTATTTGATCTTCACAAATGTAGTGATACAAGTATCGGTCATGTAGTAAACTTTGTTTTTTGTTTTCTGGTCCAATTTGGATTAAGACTCCTTCAAGAATTTCTGCGAAATTCCCCTGATAGTTGGCATGCTTGGCTAGTACAACCATACCTCTGGCTACTACACTGTAGAAGAGCGGCATTGTTTATCAATTATTTTATGAACTGCCTGAAATAAATAGTTTTAACTTGATTAACCTGATAAATGTATCATATGTTATGAAATTTATAATCATTTATTCAAATTAATTGATTCTTGATTAAKAATTTATCGATTTAATTGTAAAAGAAATTAATCAGTGTTTTAAACTATTCTAAAATCACCGATATAACCAATTAATTGTTATAATATACATAATATGTCAATTTTTTTTTAAATTTTACTTGATTGAAAATAAATATAATGTATGATTATTTATTATCTATTATTGTTGTTATTATTATATACGATTAAGTATTAACCATATGAATTTAATATTGATAATAAAAATGAATATTTAAATTTAGTATCATAAAGAATTAAGTTACATCATTATATCTATTACCTATAGTTTGTTTGAATAATTAATAACGTTTGATAAATTAAATCAAGGATTAATTCATTTAGGCAGTTAGTGTTATAATTATAAGCTTAGAAATAAGTTATTTGATTAAAAACACAACTTATTACATTATGTCATTTTATTCTGTATTCTATTTAAATATATTTAAATACAAAATTAGGATCATCACAAGAATTATATATATATTATATACATCATGAAGATATTAAATTCTTACTATTCTATAACCAGACAATTGATCTATATAATATTTTATACATTTTTTTAATCCAATTTTATGCACTCAACAATATCAATCATAAATGTAAAAATAAAAATAACAATATAAGCTGAGATTAGTTTCTTGTAACTAGATTTCTTTGACATTTGTTGGAAAGTAATTTCAWAAAATGTTTTCTTTTAAYCTATCTATCTATACATGTATATAAAAATGGATTTCTGTCTGTCTGTCCTTTATGCATTCTTAAACCGCTGGACTGATTGCGACAAAATTTGGTACAGATATAAATATAAGACCTATGGGCAGAAGATAGATTAAGTTAAAAAGCGATAGGCCCAACTATGGGAGGTGCAAGACATTTTGATACTTACGATGGGAATTTTAGTTTATAGATGGTTGCTTATTTTTTTTATTTTTTTTATTATTCTAATTATTTATTATTATATAACATATTAACTGAACCCGTGAACTTCTTAACCCGTTAAAAATTCTATCTCTTATGTATCTCAAACTGTGTTAAATTTGTTTCCTGTGATTATGCTAGCAGTACATTTTTATACACATAGATAGATAATGGTTAAAATATATTAAGTAATAATCTTACAACGATATTCAATTTAGTTTAACATTATGTAATTTTATTTGTTTTATCGAGAAAAGCCTAATCATTGAAGTATTTAATTGAATAATATTTATTGATACTAATAATTTTATAATTTGGGCCTATTAATTTTGAATTTAGCTTCTCTTCTGTCTATAGGTTTAATATATATCTCTGTACCAAATTTTTTAGCAATTGGTCCAGCGATTGGAATGGGAATGCATTAAGGACAAATAGACAGAAATCCATTTATATACAGGGTGTCCCGCGAGSATATATCCATTGGGATATCTCATGAAATAATGGATATTAAAATGTTTGAAATGAGATTCACAGGGATAAGAACTACAATTATTTTATTTTTTTATTTTTTT